CCAATTTAAATTAAGACAGTTTTGTATCAAAGTGCTTCCACTCGTGTTACAACACTGTTCACTTTGCTTCTGTGAGCAATGGGGTGGCCTCTTTACAAAGTTTGTTTTCATTGAGCTCTGGAAGCTTGTGGAGTCTTTTTCGTTTCAGTGCATGCTTGTAGATACATACAGAATAGAGTGAAAGCAAACATGCTCTGAAATGGACCATAACCAATCTAACCATATTCCTAAAGACAAAAAGGTCCTGTTGTGTTGCCCATCCCACAATGCCACCCCTATGTGCACTCCACATGGGGATAGCATAGCTCCCGATATTCTGGCTTTCTGAAACAAATCTAACTGCAAGGAACCACACCCTTTCTCTGTATAAGGGGACTATAGTGTAATGATAAGAGTACATGGTTTGTGTATGGAAGGTTCCAGCTTCATTTCTTGGCACCTCCAAGTAAGGCTAATAAAGAACTTGCCTGAAAATACTAGAGTGTTTCTACCCCCATCAGAGTACTGATAATACTAGACAAATGGTTGAAGAGTCACACTCAGTATGAAGTAGTACTATGTTTCCCCAAAAATAAGAGTGAGTCTTACATTAATTTTTTGCTCCAAAAACACATTAGGGCTTTCTTTCAGGGGATATTTTGATTTTTTTTCATGTACAACAATCAGCATTTATTCACATACAGTCATGTCATCTTCTTCTGGTGGCTGCACAATACTGCACAATGGTGGAGGGTGGTGTTTCACTTAACTGGGGCTTATTTTTGACGTAGGGCTTATATTACGAGCATCCTGAAAGATCATACTAGGGCTTATTTTCAGGTTAGGTCTTATTTTGGGGGAAACAGAGTAGCTTCTTACATTCTGCATTGCCCATTAAAGAAACATTAAATTCTTTCAAATGCATAGATCCATCCAGCCTACATATATCCAGATATATACAATCAACCATTCCTAACCAGTAATAAACAACTTGCTTAATAACCTCTACATTATTTTGGTATTATGCTTTGACTGTGTTGTCCTGAGAAGCTGTTACTGTGTGTTGAGCTTCTCATCATTATCTTTCTATCGGTTTGTTCAAAGATTGTAACTGATTTCACATGTAGATAGATTAAGTGTAAATGAGTTAAAGGGAAATTTGAAAATACATGTGAAGCTTTATCTCAGCATTTATGACAACAGGTCACAACAGATCATTTGACTGAACTTAAGATCATTTAGAGGATGCTGTTTCAAATTTAGGAACAGTGAAAGTTATATGCAAGTAAGGGATGATTAGTTATGAAAATAACATTCAGAAACAGTTTCATGGATCTGTATTGGACTTCTTTACAGTTTTATTTTTCTCTCCTCTAGGTGGCTAATCTTGCTTGCTCAGTATCAACAAATGAAGAAGGAATTAAAATTGTCCAAACAGCAGCCACTCATATGGAAACTTTGTGCCCACAGGTAGGACTATTCTCGGCAGATTAAAGAAAAGGATGGCTTTCTGTCATGTCTCCCTGTCAATCACATGGTCCTAAGGCAGGCTGATATCCTTGCCATTGCCAGCTGAAGATATTGTGCTGCTTGAAGCAAATGCCAGATTCCCCCTCCCAGCTATGAGCAATATTTATAAAAAGTCTTCCAGTGTGTCCATAACATCAATTCATGGCTTCCTTTGTTCTCCCTCATGGTACAATCTGGAACAAATATCGGTAACTCTGCCATGCTACTTGGCAAGACTGGCCCTCGTCCCTGTTGGCAAAAAAAAGTAAACCCCTCCCCTAAAAGTATATCAAGAAGTGAACCTTGGAGTGTACCATCATATTACCTGAACATATCTGTTTTAGTGTGGTGTAGTGAAATCATTTTGGTGCAGTGTATAGAGTGTTAAATGAGGACTCAGGAGACCTGAATTCAAATTCCTATCAGGCATGAAAACTCATGGAGGAGAGGTTTAGGACTAGTAAACCAGTCCTTGAATACCTCAGAAACCTTAATAGTGTATCCATTATGCCAGTGTTTATGAAAAGGTAAATGTTCCCCTTGACAATTAAGTCCAATCATGTCTGACTCTAGGAACTGGTGCACATCCTTGTTTGTAAGTGGAAGATCCACCATTTGCCCATAGACACTTTCAGTGGTCACATGGCCAACATGAGTACACACGGAATGCCATTTCCTTCCCACTGCAGTGGTACCTATTTATCTACTCTCATTTACATGCTTTTGAACTGCTAGGTTGGCAGGAGCTGGGACAAGCAACAGAAGCTCACCCTGTCACGTGGATTTGAACTGCCAACCTTTTAATCAACAGCCCAGTGGGTGTCTTGTTTGTTGAGACAACCCAAATCAACAGGAATGGATGATTTAATGGGTTTACTTTACATTCCTATCACACAGCCTCATGAAAATGAAGCATGCTCAGTGGCAGCCAAATGGGTTTCATAGAGTGAACATAGATGTGGAATGAAGTACAAAATAGATTATGGAGGCAAAAATTATAGCACATGAAGGGAGCCAAACTCTACTTATTGAATGAAAATAATTCCCCAAATCTTGTTCTTGTTTTGAATTGTGTGTTTTTTGATACATTTTATTCTCTTCCTCTTGAGAAAATCCTTATAATTAGTTTTCCACTATGTATTTCAGACATGTGCTGACCTCATCCATTTAAAAAATAATAACAATGAAAGAAACATCTTGAAACAACCCACTTTCTTTCCTCTCTGATTACCATTTGTGCTTTTAAAAATGTTCAAAATGTGTAGGTCTCGAAATGTTAAGTCGTTGCCAGAAAATAAAATGTGAGGGTATGAGTTGAACTTTCTTGATACACTCATGTTAGGGTAGACATCCAAGATAGGGGGAAAAGATTTACTTCCAAATACATTTCAGAGGTACAAAGGTGGGCTTTCTCTTACCAAACTCTACCTAGTTTGTTCTAATTAAACAGCAGTACAATAAACCTATGTGCTGTACCCTCTAGGCCCCAATGCAGGCTGAAATTACAAAAACTGATCTGGAGCTCCATAAGGGCACTAAGGCTTGGAATGAGTATCTCCGATCTTGTAGGGTGTTCTGTGATTTGTGATTCTTTCCTTCTGCAGCTAGTGCTGCCCGAGATACTTTACTGGTTATAATTCTAATTGCAGACCCCTCCTTGCTACCTCTACTTATGGAGTATGTGTTTCAGAGAATAGGAAGTTGAAGAATGAACACACACTGGCTGAAATCCTGTTGCTTAATGTACTAAGTTGAGACCAGAGTAGACCCAATGGACCTTCTAGAGGAGCTGACTGACCAAGCCCCCTCTTATTCAAACCCTAGTTTCAACTTATTATGCTAAGGAACAGAATTTCAGCCTTTAAGTTCATCATTGATAAGCTAAAAAAATCTAAATAAACCACTGAAAAAGTTTTTTTAAAAAAGAGGTTACATTAAAGCTGGAGCAGATGAGATTATTCCCTGTCCATTCTGAAGGGTTTCCAGGAGAGACAGAAAACACTTTCATTCATCTTAGACAGATAGATCTAGAGATGGCCATAAATTAAAATATGCATCACCAAAATTTGTTCAAAAATTGCTAATTTGTCTATTCGTATTTATACTCATCAATGCCCCAATGAATCATGAATAAAGATGGGGACAAAGCACCAAAATTCAACCACAAATTGCCCTTCAGTGGCCCAATCAATTTGTCAGTTCATCGGGTCATGTTTTTTCAGACAGCCTGTGGGGCTATCTAAAAAAAGCGCCCCATCTCCCTCAAGTGATTCCCCTGCCCCACTGCCTTTGCAAAGGCAGCCAGGCTGGGGGATTGCATTGATCCCTTTTTCCCGTGCAGCATAGGAAGAGGAGGGAAAGTGGGACGTGCTGTCTTTGCAGCCGTGCTGTCTTTGCAAGGCAGCTAGGCTGGGGGATCCCATTTAGCAAGCTGGCCAAAGGAAAAATCCCTCTCTGTTTATGCCCCCGAAGAACAACTGATCTGCCAGGGTATAAGCAGATAGGGAATGAAAAGACAAATATGAAAGGGTTATATTAGTTGCTTCATATTTGTTGGGGTCTCTGGACCCCAAGAATAGGAAGCAATGAATATCTGATGAATCAGAACGAATATCCCAATTGTTTTTATATTCATCCCCATGTCTAATCATGGATCTATGAATATTTAACAATTTTTGATTCACTGATTCATTTGGCTATAAAACAGCCCACCAGGTACCTAGAGACACCAAAATTGCAGGGGCAGCTTCCTCTGACCCTCCTCTACAATCCCTCCAATTTTTGTGAAGATTGGGGAGATAGTTTGTGGGTGTATAACTCGTATATCCAAAACAAAATCTTCACCAAACTTGAAGGGATTGTAGAGGTGAGTCAGTAGATGTGGCTCTGTAATTTTGGTGTATCTACAATAGGTTTTGGGGTGGTACTTTCCTGGGGGGCCCTCGTTGTGGGTGTATAACATTGACATATAAAATCCAGTCTTCTTCACCAAACTTGCAGGGCTTGTAGAAGAGGGTCATAGGGAGCTTCCCTGTGAATTTGGTGTCTCTAGGTGCTCCAGGGAATATTTTATAGGAGTTTAAATTAAAATATGAATTGATGAATTGATTCATTCATCAGGAAAAAAATCGTACATTTGTAATTCGTGATTTGTTGACCTTGATGAATCACAAATCAAAATGAATCACTATTTTTCTGATTCATTCCCATATCTAGTTAGAGCCTTTTCCTTCCTTTTTGGATATACACTATTTCAAAGACTGCAACTACTAGCATGGCAACATTCTACTACTTCCTATATTCACACAGGACTTTCTTGGGAAAAGATGAGTTTTTTTTTCATTCTCATAGCTGCTTTTTATTGTCGATTGCTGTATTAATTTGCTGCTATTCTTGTTGCCTTGCTGACAGGCTATCTTTCCTACATCCTTTCCTGGCTAATACTAATCTAATATATTGGTGAAAAAAACATTCATGGAAAAAAATCAAACCTAAATTTCATACTTTCATTTTTAAGAAGACATTACAACTTTCTGGCCAAAATCCTGCTGCTTAGCATATCAAATTGCATTAGAGTAGAACCATTGACTCAGTGAGGATTTGATGAGTCAGCTCTTCCATAAGGTCCTTTGATTAAAATAGGCTTACTCTACTTGTGACTTTCTACATTTCAGCAACAAGATTTTGGCCTAACTTAACTGAGAACTGAATTGATTGCCATACATTGTGGCCAATCTCTGATGTGTTTCAATTGGGGTCAGTGCAACCACAATATTGTAGTAAAACAAGGGTTCGGGATTGAAGTGTCAGGACTGATTATCAACGATTATCACATCAGCTCTGTAATTCCCACTGATTCATATGGGTTTACTCAACTTGCTTTAGCATACTTGCTTTAGCCTAGTAAATTGTGATTAGAGCAGGTCCATTTGAATCAGTGGAACTTAATGGAGGAAGTGACTCATCAAATTCATTGTGATTCTGAATTGATTGCCAAATAATGCTAAGAATCTCTTATGTGCTTCTATAGATGTCCTCCTTTTCTAACCTCTATGTTTGGTTATTGCTATTTATTCTGTGCATTCCCCCTCTCCCGATCTAACTGTAAGAGAGAGGCAGAGTTGTATAGTTTTTGTAATGCTCTGCTTCCCTTTGTTTCCAAGCAGGGAGAGAAATCAGCATGAAGGTTGAGAAAGCATGATTTTATGTTTTGGGAGATATATTTAAAGTCTGGGCAGCCATCTCCACCTGTTTCTACCTGGCATCAGCATTTATTAGCATATGTGTTTTACTTGCCTCCCTCCCAGCCCTTCACTGCTCTGGCTCTGTGACATCATCAGAACTTTCCCTGCCCCCCTGCCCAGCTACTGGTGCAGATTGCAGGGAGTTCTGAGGGGAACAGCAATGGATGTTATCATCCTTGGTAATGAGTCCTGACACTTCTGCTCTGTTAGTCTGCAGCACTGTTGTGGCACTGAACTCATATGATGGCCTAGAATAGGCAGATATATCTGGTCCATTGCCTGTTGCTCTCAAGTTGGGACAATTGACATGTCCCCTAACAAGCCATTTTGCTGAGATGTGAATTATTGCTCAGCCACTGATGGCCAACACACAGAAGTTGGAAAGCCTGCTTTTGGGGAATACAACTCACAGAATCCCTCAGCTATGGGAACTGTAGTCTTAAAAGTAACTTTACTAAGTACTGTTAATTTGCCAATGTTGCATTTTCTCTCTTGAGAGTTCCACACGCTTCTCATGTGTCCCTCACAGCAGTCCCGCTCTATGATTTAAGAAACATGTGAACCAAAAGGAAGATAGTAGGACTGAATTTTCTTATCTCCAGCTTGCATAAACATCTTTTTGGCAGAAAAAATAATATAGGCAGATTGGTGCAACCGTCTGGTTTTATCCTTACATCCGCTATTGCTTTATGAAAGCAGAAATATGTGGCGTATTCATGTGTGGTAATATTTTTCTTAATATGATCTAGTTTTGCAGTCTGTGTGTTTTACATGATGTAATTATTTGCAGCATTACATTCTAATATTATGTGACTATTAAAATAACAGCCAAAATACTTTATAAAGATGTATACTTTGTCTTTCAGAAACCTACTTGGCAA